CTCTAGATCCACCACCCACCATGGGTTATTGAGGGGTAAAACCCACCCAGACCTGTAGATCTACCACCCACCATGGGTCAATGGGAGGTAGAACCCACCCAGACCCCTAAATCCACCACCCACCATGGGTTATTGAGGGGTAAAACCCACCCAGACCTGTAGATCTACCACCCACCATGGGTCAATGGGAGGTAGAACCCACCCAGACCCCTAAATCCACCACCCACCATGGGTTATTGAGGGGTAAAACCCACCCAGACCTGTAGATCTACCACCCACCATGGGTCAATGGGAGGTAGAACCCACCCAGACCCCTAAATCCACCACCCACCATGGGTTATTGAGGGGTAAAACCCACCCAGACCTGTAGATCTACCACCCACCATGGGTCAATGGGAGGTAGAACCCACCCAGACCCCTAAATCCACCACCCACCATGGGTTATTGGGAGGTAGAGACCACCCAGAGCCCTAGATCCACCACCCATCATGGGTCATGGAGGTCTAGAGTCCACCTAGACCTCTAGATCCCCCACCCACCATGGGTTAATGGGGGTAAAACCCACCCAGACCTCTAGATCCACCACCCACCATGGGTCATGGAGGTCTAGAGCCCACCCAGACCCCCAGCCCCACCACCCACAGTGGGTTAATGGTGGACAGAGCCCACCTGGACATCTGGATCCTATGGCTGGGACCCAGGAGGAGGAAGAGGAAGAGGAGGAAGATGAGGAGGTCATAGGGGGACAAAGGCCGTGGTGATGGTGGTGGAGGAAGAAGAAGAGGAAGAGGAAGAAGAGCAGGATGATGACAATGAGGAGCAGGAAAAGGAAGAGGAAAATGATGAAGATGAGAAGGAGGAAGAGGAGGAGGAGGAGGAGGAAGAGGAGGAAGAGGAGGACTAAGGTCATGAGAAGAGAAATTAGTGGATGAAGAAGAATGGAAGAAGAAGAAGAAGAAGAAGAAGAAGAAAAGAAGAAGAAGAAGAAGAAGAAGAAGATGATGATGATGATGATGATGATGATGATGATGATGATGATGGTGAGAAGAAAGAAGAGAGAAAGAAGGATGAGGGAAGTGATGATGAGGATGGTGAAGAAGCTGGGAGGAAGGAAATGGAGGACGATGAGGAGGATGATGATGATGATGAAAAGACGAAGAGCGATGAGAATGACGAGGGTGACAGCGATGAGGAAGGGCTTGAGGGAAAGGATGATGATGATGATGGAGGAGGAAGAACAGAAGAAGAAAGAGAAAGGTGGAGAAGATGGAGAAAGAGGTGAGAAGAATGATGAAGATGAAGATGAAGATGAAGATGAAGATGAAGATGAAGATGAGAACAAGAACAGGACAGTGAGAATGGTGAAGGAAAGGTCCAACAGAAGGAAGAGGATGAAGATGAGGAGGAAGGTGTTGAGAAAACGAAGGACGATGAAATGAGAACGAGAAGAAGGATGATGAGTAGGAGGATGGTCAGGAGGATGATGATGATGGTCAGGAGGATGGTGATGATGGTCAGGATGAGGAGGAGGATGGTCAGGAGGATGATGATGATGGTCAGGAGGATGATAAGGTTGGGGTGACTCATCTGGAGGAGGTCCCTGCTGGGGCAGAACTGGGGCAGGGTCTTCAGGGAGGAGGAGGAAGAGGAGGAGGATGGTGAAGATGAGGATGGTGAGAATGAGGATGGAGAAGATGAGGAGGATGGTGAAGATGAGGAGGATAACAGCGAAGGATGATGAAGATGATGATGAGGATGGTAAGCATAAGAACAAGGATGGTGAGAATGAGGATGGTGAAGATGAGGATGATGAAGCTGAGGACCACAAGGATGAAGATGCTGAGGTTGAGGATCATAAGGATGAAGATGAAAATGGTGAGGATGAAGATGGTGAAGCTGAGGATACTGGAGATGGTGAGGATGAGGGTGATGGGGTTGAGGGTTATCAGGATGAAGATGAAGATGTTGAGGATGAGGATGATGAAGCTGAGGACCATAAGGATGAGGATGAAGATGATGACATTGGGGATCACAAGGATGAAGAAGATGAGGATGATGAAGTTGAGGATACTGAGGATGGTGAGGATGAGGATGATGAGGCTGAGGATGATGAAGCTGAGGACCATGAGGATGGTGAAGATGAAGATGGTGAAGATGAAGATGGTGAAGATGAGGATACCAAGGATGGTGAGGATGAAGATGATGAGGTTGATCATAATGATGAGGATGATGAGGTTGAGAATTATGAGGATGAAGATGAAGATGGTGAAGATGATGGTGAAGATGATGGAGAAGATGAGGATACCAAGGATATTGAGGATGAGGATGATGAGGTTGACCATGAGGATGAAGATGACAAGGCTGAGGCTGTAGACACTGATGATGGTGAGGAAGAAGATGCTGAGGACATTCCCTGTGACTCACCTGAGTGGAGCTCTCCCCTCCAGCCCGAAACTGAGGCAGGGTCTCCAAGCAGAAGACCACGATGGAGATGAGGATGACGAAGAAGGAGATGAAGATGGTGAAGATGATGGAGAAGATGAGGATACCAAGGATGGTGAGGATGAGGATGGTGAAGATGATGGTGAAGATGAGGATACCAAGGATGGTGAGGATGAGGATGGTGAGGTTGATCATAATGATGAGGATGATGAGGTTGAGGATCATGAGGATGAAGATGGTGAAGATGAGGATACCAAGGATGGTGAAGATGAAGATGGTGAAGATGATGGTGAAGATGAGGTTATCAAGGATGTTGAGGATGAGGATGGTGAGGAAGAGGACGCTGAGAACGTTCCCCGTGACTCACCTGAGTGGAGCTCTCCCCTCCAGCCCGAAACTGAGGCAGGGTCTCCAAGCAGAAGACCACGATGGAGATGAGGATGACAAAGAAGGAGATGAAGATGGTGAAGAAGATGGAGAAGATGAGGATACCAAGGATGGTGAGGATGAGGATGATGAGGTTGATCATAATGATGAGGATGATGAGGTTGAGGATCATGAGAATGAAGAGGGTGAAGATGAAGATGGTGAAGATGATGGTGAAGAGCAGGATACCAAGGATGGTGAAGATGAAGATGGTGAAGATGATGGTGAAGATGAGGTTACCAAGGATGGTGAAGATGATGGAGAAGATGAGGATACCAAGGATGGTGAAGATGATGGAGAAGATGAGGATACCAAGGATGTTGAGGATGAGGATGGTGAGGAAGAGGATGCTGAGGACATTCCCTGTGACTCACCTGAGTGGAGCTCTCCCCTCCAGCCCGAAACTGAGGCAGGGTCTCCAAGCAGAAGACCACGATGGAGATGAGGATGATGAAGACGGAGAGCAAGGCCACCACACGAGCAGCTGGAGAACTTTCCGGATGTTCACACAACAACCAAGCTTGACGTTGTAACCTTCCACGTGGTAACGGTGGAGCCACCTCCACCGTGAAGCCTTCGGCCTCGCGGAGTCTTCCTTCAGCTTCATCACCCAACTGATAGAACCGTAACTCCTCCAAGAAGACATCTAAGGGGACATCGGGTGGACGACGGAGTCTCCCACCGGATTGGTAGTAGTAGAGGACGGCGCCGAAGGCTCCGCGGTGACGGTCGAAGAAATACTCGCGGCGTTGAGGGTCGAAGTAACGCCGGCGCCGGCGGGGGTCACCCAAGAGGGTGTCGGGGAAGCGGTGGAGGGTCCTCCCCAAGGTCTCAAATCTTCTTCCAGCCACGTTGATGGCCACCCGTTCACAACATCCCACCGGTTCCCCCATCCCTGGGGGTTCCCCGGTGGGTTTAGGGGGGATGGATGGACCTGAGGGCAGGGTGAGGGGGGTTGAGGGGGGACACACACACCCCTAAATTCTGAGGGGGGTGGAGGTTCTACAGGGGTCTACAGAGGTGGAGGAACCTCAAGAACTTTTGGAGGTTCCACCAAAAAGTCTATAGTAATGGAAGAACCTCAAGAACTTTTGGAGTTCCACCAAAAAGATCTACAGAGTTGGAGGAACCTCAAGGTCCTTGAAGGTCCCACAGATATGGGGGGACCCCCAAAACTCTTGGGGGGTCCTTCAGGGGTCTGTAGAGGTGCGGGAACCTCAAGAACTTTTGGAGGTTCCACCAGAAGGTCTACAGCAATGGAAGAACCTCAAAGTCTTTGGGAGTCCTGCAGGAATCCTACGATGTTGGAGACCCTCAAGGTCTTTGGGGGTCTCACAGATATGGGGGGACCCCCAAAACTCTTGGGGGGTCCTTCAGGGGTCTATAGAGGTGGAGGAACCTCAAGAACTTTGGAGGTTCCACCAAAAAGTCTACAGAGATGGAGGAACCTCAAAGTCTTTAGGAGTCCTGCAGGAATCCTACGATGTTGGAGACCCTCAAGGTCTTTGGGGGTCTCACAGATATGGGGGGACCCCCAAAACTCTGGGGGGTCCTTCAGGGGTCTACAGAGGTGGAGGAACCTCCAAATTTTTGGGGGGTTCCTGCAGGAACCGTCCAATGTTGGGGGACCCTCAAGGTCCTTGAAGGTCCCACAGATATGGGGGGACCCCCAAAACTCTGGGGGGTCCTTCAGGGGTCTACAGAGGTGGAGGAACCTCCAAATTTTTGGGGGGTTCCTGCAGGAACCGTCCAATGTTGGGGGACCCTCAAGGTCCTTGAAGGTCCCACAGATATGGGGGGACCCCCAAAACTCTGGGGGGTCCTTCAGGGGTCTACAGAGGTGGAGGAACCTCCAAATTTTTGGGGGGTTCCTGCAGGAACCGTCCAATGTTGGGGGACCCTCAAGGTCCTTGAAGGTCCCACAGATATGGGGGGACCCCCAAAACTCTGGGGGGTCCTTCAGGGGTCTACAGAGGTGGAGGAACCTCCAAATTTTTGGGGGGTTCCTGCAGGAACCGTCCAATGTTGGGGGACCCTCAAGGTCCTTGAAGGTCCCACAGAAGCTCTAGAGATGTGGGGGGGGACCCCGAAATCTGGGGGGTCCTTCAGGGGTCCTACAGCAACGAGGGACCCTGAAGGTCTTGGAGGTCCCAGGAGGACCCCAGGGCTCTAGGGGACCCCAAAGTCCTTGAGGGTCCAACAGGGTGTCCCCCGATGTCACCAGGTCACCCCCAGATCCCACCCCAGGGTCCCCCTATGGCCTCTTGTCACCCCCAAACCTGTTGTCACCCAGCACGGGATTGTCCCCAACCCCCTGTCACCAGGTGTCCCCCAACCCACCTGA